CGAATCAATGGCGGCTCCGACGGTGTCGAAGGCGAGATCGACAGAGACTTTCGTGGACAACAAGCGGAAGGACGACATCCGTATGACCAACATAGCGTCGGCGCAGGGTGTGTCGGATGCCGTGCGGACCAGTCTCGGACCCAAAGGCATGGACAAGATGATCTCAACCTCGTCGGGCGAGGTGATAATTACTAATGACGGCGCCACCATCCTCAATAAAATGGAAGTTCTTCAGCCCGCCGCCAAGTTCCTCGTCGAGCTCTCCAAATCTCAGGACGTCGTCGCGGGAGATGGCACCACCACCGTTGTCGTCATCGCTGGATCGCTGCTCAAGGCGTCACTTGGTCTGTTGACCTCCGGCATCCACCCTACGATTGTTTCTGATTCCCTCCATAAGACCTCAATCAAAGCCGTCGAGATTTTATCCGCCATGGCGGTCCCTGTAGAGCTCTCAGATCGCGAATCCCTCGTCAAATCTGCCTCTACTTCTCTCAATTCAAAGGTAGTGTCTCAGTACTCCACTCTTTTAGCTCCACTAGCTGTTGACGCTGTGCTTTCTGTGGTGGACCCACAAAAGCCCAATTTAGTGGATTTGAAAGATATTAGGATTGTGAAGAAATTGGGGGGAACTGTGGATGACACTGAACTGGTAAGGGGACTTGTTTTCGATAAGAAGGTTAGTCATGCTGCTGGGGGCCCCACTAGGGTCGAAAATGCTAAGATAGCTGTGATACAGTTCCAGATCTCACCCCCTAAGACCGATATAGAGCAGAGCATTGTGGTGTCTGACTACTCCCAGATGGATAGGATTTTGAAAGAGGAGAGAACTTATATTCTGGGAATGATTAAAAAGATCAAGGCCACAGGGTGCAACGTGTTGTTGATCCAGAAGAGTATTTTGAGGGATGCTGTGACGGACTTGTCCCTGCATTATCTGGCAAAGGCGAAGATTTTAGTCATTCGAGATGTTGAGAGGGACGAGATTGAGTTCATCACCAAGACCTTGAACTGCCTGCCCATCTCGAACATCGAGCATTTTCGTGCAGAGAAGCTCGGTCATGCGGATTTGGTGGAGGAGGTTCCACTTGGAGATGGTGGGAAGATAGTGAAAATCACGGGGATCAAGGACATGGGTAGGACCATGAGCGTTCTGGTCCGCGGGTCAAACCATCTGGTGCTTGACGAGGCTGAGAGGAGCCTGCACGATGCTCTGTGCGTGGTGAGGTGCTTGGTGAACAAGAAGTTTCTAATTGCAGGTGGTGGGGCCCCCGAGATCGAGCTCTCGAGGCAGCTGGGCGCCTGGGCGAAGGTGCTGCAGGGGATGGAAGGGTACTGCGTGAGGGCTTTTGCAGAGGCC